ATTCATTAACATACCATGAATTGAGAATATTTGAAAGAACCTTGAATACTTTGTTTAATTATTTCCTTACATGGAATTTAATTCACCTAGTGATGCCTAGTGTAGAATTAACTTGTATCATGAAATTAAAATAGGCCTTGATATGACCTTTGACATGTATGATTTGTAGAATTTTTGGAGTTACTTTGTAATCTTGAGAATTTAATTATTTAAGTTAATTAAATTCCCTTTTATGCTTCTATTGAGATAATTAGGCATTGATGTTGTATTCTTACTTAATTTGGAGTTTAGAACTTGTTATATGATTACATGATAGTATTCCACGAGTTGAAGTTCTGATTTAACTTGTAAGTGTTCACATTTAACTTATATGACATTTAATATGCCATTGTAGCTTGAATACCTAGGGCATAGCTTGTGTGTATTTCATGACTTGGTTGTATGTGGTGATTGATTTTGATGCATTGTGTATATGTGATATGCTTGTTGCACAACTTGATGATTTTAGGAAAGCTCGTATGGACATTGAAAATTGTTACGGTTAGGGCATGGCTCTAGTACGGGGGATGAGAGTTCCCTCTATTTCATATAGTGTGCACCGGCTAGTACCCTGAGGGCTAGTAACCCAAAATCACCAATATAACGGTTTTATTTCGGGTTTAGTTGCGCACTAGGTAGTACCTTGCGGGCTAGTAATCCGGAACCACTTGCTTGGTCATTGAGACCTTATGTCCTTTGTCTTTCTGCTAATTGTTGATTTCGCATTCAATTTCTAATTGTAATCATGGATTACTTTTAACTTGTGCTTGGATGCATAATGCTTCATTTGTTGCTTAGTATACTTGGATTTGTTTACTTGTATGCCTTATGTATAAAAAATGCTTAGTATATTTGAATTTGTATACTTGTATGCCATGTATGTTAACATTACTTAGTATACTTAGAAATGTATATTTAAATATATATGTTGCATTTCCATTTCAATATTGCTTAGCGTACTTGGTGTGTACACTTGTATATTGATGATTTACTTTCGAGTTAACCTAGTATACTTGTGTCTTGTATACTTGTTTTAAATACATTTCAATATTGAGTTTATACTTTTGTACGTATACTTGTACATTGATTATCTTGTTGCGTTGTACCGTATGCTCCTATGTTGTTTAAATTGCATGAATGATGTGGTTTATGCTAGAAATGCTCTAAGGTAGTTTATGATGCTCCCTGAGTCTCACCTTTGACATAGACGCTAGGTAGCATGACAATTTGAGTTAAACTATAACAACTTAATAGGTTTGTAAAACGTTAGGTCTTTGTATGCTCATCTCCTACGAGTAGCTTTATGCTACTCACTCACGTAGTGGGGACATTTTTCAGGTACATGAATCAAGGTTTGAGATTCTCATATTGCTTGGATGATTTGTAGCCTTGAAGGTTTCAATTCTTTTAAAAGTTGGCTTGAAATGTCACTTGTAGCCTTATATGTCAAAATGTGTATATTTGATTCTAATCATGTAATGTGTACATAAGTACACTCTTTACAATGTATTTGACATGTATGAGATGAGGCCATAGGCCAATGACATCTAATTTGTATCCTATGTAACTTTTGACTTCATGAAATATTATAAAAATATTAAAAAAATAGCAAGTCATTGGCTCACCATGTTTGCATCGGGTGTGGGAATTCCATTTTTATATTTTCATAGGGTCTCATTAATCATGCATGAAGTGTGGCCAAGGGCCAAATGGTAATTTGAAACCATTTTATAATTTTAAGTTTCAAATTTTCCATTTTGAGTTCATTTTCGCCATTTTTGGCCGTCAGGGGGTCGTATTTTGCATCGGCCATTTTTGAGAGCCACGGACAACACTAAATACGTTTGTGTGCATAATCATTTTAGCCTAGAAATGCATTTAGGGTCAAATGAACACTTGGTGCAAAGTTGCAATTTCCTCATTTTTGCCCTTTTCTTATCTAGGGCCATTCTGGGTATTTCATAGTTTTTTTTTTTTTTTTTTTTTTTTTTTTTTTTTTTTTTTTTTTTTTTTTTTTATGCTGCCAGGTAGAAAATGTGATTTCAGTGGGGGTTTCTTCTTCGTGTTTTTTGAGAAAATGTCGTTAAGGGCCCCGTTTTTGCTCTCTGTTATGGTAGATTTCAAAAAAAAAAACATTTAAGCTTTTTGTTTTAACCCTCATGGTCTAAACTGATATAAGGGCATTTCGGGAATTTCTTTTGAAAAATAAATTCTGGTCTTGACATGGTCACATAGAAAACGTGATTTTAGGGGAGGTTTCTTCTTCTTCACAACATTTTTCCAGAAAATGTGGTCTCGGACTCAAAAACCCCATGTCAAATCTGATTTCCTGTGCGCACCTGCACTATTTGAAAAAGTCTGTTGTAAGGGCATTTTGAGAATTTTACTTCAAAAATAAATTTTCTTTTGACATGGTCAGCTTGAAAAAATTATTTTAAGGAGGGTTTCTTCTTCATGTTTTTCTAGAAAATGTCGTTTGGTACCTCAAAATGGCACACGAACTTCAGCATTTTGCCCAGGTTAGTATTCATTGCTGTCAAAAATACTATTCACGGCGTCGGCGACGTCAAAACTTTGTTTTGACTTTTTTCTTCCATCCAGACTCCGAATCAAGTGATTCTTGAGTCTAACTTGATTAATTTTTTGTTGTCTTTCCAATGGTGTGCTCAGAAGCACCCAGATCTTGATAAAAATTACTATTTTTCCCTTAGGGCTAAACTTGTCGCTTTTTTTTTTTTTAAATTGCTTCTACTATGCTTTCTTATGAGTTTCATGACTTCCTATGAAGTCACGGAGGTGTCTTGGGAATGATGTACATTTCCAAAAATGTTGCTTCCATGTAAAAGACTATTTTACCCTTAGGGGCTTATTTGGTCTTTTTCTGATCTTTTCTTTCGCGTCGGTTCTTGTGGAGTTTCGTGGCCTTATGAAAGGTCACTTTGGTGTCCTAGGGATGTTGTATATCCCTATAGACTTGTTTTCTGTTTTTGCTTCCGCATTACGGATCCGTTATCGGGTCAAACTACGGTTCATCACAAGACGCATTGGCTTGAAAAACCAGGGCTGTCACAGTTCATAAAGCCAAAATGACAAAAATGCCCCTTAAACATCTTTATAACTTCAACCATGCCATAAAATATCACCCTCCATTTAATACCACTAATGCAACATAGATACATGTACATATACACATATACACATGTGAACCCTTCATTAAAATGAGAAAATCGGGAGAAGTTTCCGAGTCCGGAAATCGTCCCGACTTCTGAAAAATTCTAAAAATGATACTGTCACTTCTAATTGACTTAAAATGATTAAAAATACACTTTTAAAACCCTCGGCGAAAAAAAATGACTAAATGGCCCTTTAGGGCACCGCAAGGCATGCAAAACGAGATAAGGATTAAAATAATCCAGAAAAATCAAATAAATTCCAAAAATTAGAAAATAGAGAAAATCGGTAACATTACATCTTGATTTTATCTATGATTTGTATGGTTCAATACTTTCAATTAATTTTATAGTTTATTTACATGTCTACGTGTGATTAAACTGAGGGTTATGTCTCAATACTAGTTTCTCTAGATTTGGTACATGTCTATGTGTGATTAAATTGAGAATCTAGTGATCGTTATGCATGATTGTTATTATTGAATACACTTGTGAATTGATTTGATGAATTATGCTCATACTTGATGGATTGTTCTACACCCTTAGTTAATTAGTTTAATTTCCTTATCTTAGTATAATTGTAATGTAATTGCATTTCAATTCCTAGATTAGATAGACAATCCATGCTTGTGTTTGATAATCCATCCTTTTTGTTGCAAGATGTATATTTCTCTATATTAATGTGTGCTCCAATTGTGGGTTTATTGAATGGTTCATGCTTTAACTTGATGAGTTGTACTACATCTTAGCTTAAGTAGATAATTTATGCTTGTTTTTGTCACCCAAGCTCATTGTTTCAATTGGTTGCATACACTTTGGTTACAACATTGAATTCCCCCAAATTGTTAAAGGCTAGATGTTTAGAGGAAGAGCTTAGTGGTGATTCCTATGCCCTAAGACTTCTTTCCTATTCTCTGCACCTTACTTTAATTAGTTTGTTTCTTCTTGCATTGTTTAATTTAGTTAATCATAGTTTAATTTAACTAAACCAAACCACTCTTTTGATCACTTGACCAACTAATCCGAATTTAATTCCGAATACCCTTACAATCTCTTGGGATGATTCCTATTCGCTATGTTACATTAGTAGTAGTTTTATAAATTTAAATTTGACCAAAAAGGCTTCTTAAACCACATTCGTAATTTGACCTTGTGAAGTTACCTCTCACATTGAGTGGCTGTCATCTTCCACACTTAGAAAAATTTGATAAAATCATAAATTGCGTGTTCTTTGTCCCATTGTTCAAGTTTGAACTCGATCAATTGAGTTGGACTCCATCGAGCATTCTTGCCTTGTGTTTATTAGTTGTTAACTTAAACTTCGAATAGCCATAACTCCCTCATTTTAAACCTAAATTGAGTCGTTCTTGAGTCTAAACTGACTGCCTTGAAGTCAGCTTTCCAATTATTACAACCCTATCTTTAAATTCCAATCACACAAAGAGTTATAACTGTTTTAGTGAAGAGTTGTTGGAGAATCCTTTAAACCGAGAGTGGGTAAGTGTGGGAAACTATAGCTATGGCCTTTAGAAGCTTATGGAATTGATTTAAATGGTTAATATAATGTTAGAGAGCCCCATTTGACTTATTATAGTCAAACTCGTCCCCCATATTTTTCTTGAAATGACCATTTTGCCCTTGTGTGTCCTCGGATCCAGGTAGAGACCTGGTTAATATTTCGGACCCATGGATTTGGGATGTGACACCACACTTGTCACAGGGATGCCAGCCACTATTTGCAGTTGCCAATTAGGGCTACCATTTTACAACATCGTAATGGAATTAAGAGTTGACTATTACTAATTCAAAGAGTCGGATAAAGGTCACACGTACATCTCAAAATCCTCCACTTTTTTATTGTTTGGTAAATGTTTGAATACATTAATTCAAACAATCTAGAAAAATTACATTGACAAATGACAATATGTATACCATCAGGACATTATTCAAAAAAAATGAATACGAAGGAATGACTCGAACCCAAAAAAACAAAAAAAAAAAAAACCTTAACTACCACAACTGCAAACCAAAAAAACACTTGTTACATTAAGAAACCCAAACTTGGATTATAGTCCTTTATAGCTTGGGGGCGTGGCCACGTGGTGATCTAGCATTGCGAAGATGTTTCTCTTCAGAGAGTAATTGAGCAAACCTGTGAGAGGAGAGTTATGTCAGAATTATTTAAAGAAAAAAATAAAGAAAACTATGTAGTAAAATCAGCAAGAATAAGATCATACCTTTTTAGAGCCTCTGCATTAGTCTCTTGATCAGAAGGCATAACAGTACCAGTCTCCAAATTTACCCTTGAAACTGGTTTCTTAAGCAACCCATCACCAACCTTCACAAGGTCTTCTAAATTAGTCTTGGTGGCTATATCAACTGAAGATATTATCCCATTTAGTGAGTTGTCCTGAAATTCAATTTGGTTCATCAGAGTTGATAATAAATGTTGGTTGACACAGAGTTAAAGGAAGATTCAGTTTTATACTTTTTTTTTTTTTTTTTTCTTTCCTTGAATCATTGTTTATAAGCACAGGCACATACTTGAATACGAAGGTAATTCTTCTCGGAGTGCAAGGCCTGAAAAACCACAGAAAGATGGAAATCCACCATATCAGCACTTGCTTGGGTAAACACATCCACTAATGGGGTGGAACCACCACTGGTTAACCACCCCAATATACCCCACTTTGCTGCTTCATCTGCATCATATTTTTCCTCAGCTTTGGCTGAGCCAGTTCCTAGGGAAATAACCAATAAACGACCGTAGTCCATTTTCTCAATAGCAAGAAAGTCCGGATTTCCCCGCATGATCTGCTTTGTTACTTCTCCAATTGCTACCAGAGTCTGAAACATTATATAAAGTACAAGAAGAAGTTAAGACAAACCAAAAAGGCAAAACAATGGGGAAAAAATATAAGAAGTTAAGATTTTAAGGGTATTTAAACTACAAATACCGGATTATTGGCAGCAACACCACCATCAATTAAGTTAAATTCTCTCACTCTTCCATCAGCAGCTTTGGTTTCAAAGTAATGTGCTGGAAGGTAAGTTGGCGCTGCTGAGGTTGCAATGCATATATCTGAGAGTGAGGCATCCAAGCTTGGTTTGTTGTGCACCTAATTAAACCATGAAATGCACAAAATAAGCAAGCACCGCTAAGTCCAACCATTACAATGCCTTACAATAAATTATTTAATGAATGGAAATGTACGTTGTGCAAACAAATTAAAAGGGACTTACCTCATAGGTGGAAAAGATTGTTGGCTGGAGTGTCTTGATATCGAATGTCGGTATTGCAATATTAGTCAATGTTTGGTGTAGTTTAGTGTTTCCTAGTTTTTCCTTAACGATATTGTGGAGGTACTTCCCATCGTATTTTGGTCCTGATAGGGCTTTAATAATCTTTGTTGTATTAGGAAATGGAGAGCTGATATTAAAAAAGTTCAACCATATTAGTTAACAACCGTAAAAGATCAGTCATAACTACTTAACTAGCATACATTTAACTTGTTATAAATAATTACCGGACTTGAGGGAAGATTTTAGGGCAGCTTTCGAGGTAGAAGTCGTTGATATCCTTGGCTGCAAATAAAGGACGGTTCCTTTCATTCGGCGCAGTAAGCATGGCAGTAACAAGCCCACCTGTGCTTGTCCCTGCAATCACATCAAAGTAGTCTGCAATTCTTGCATCCTCACCATCCAACTTCTGCACCATATGAAAAAAGAACATAGATCAGTTTGCAGTTCAAAGCATTTTACTTGATAAAATTATGCATTCTAAACATTAACTTGGATGAATGTGCAAGGTACTTTGCATGAAATTGGCATGAGTATTTTGTATGAGAAAAGTCTGCAAAGACAAACTTCTTTTGACTTTATATATGCATTGAAAAAATGCATTTGGAAATACCATATTTAGACGTTTAAGCACAAAAGATACTACTGTACCTGAAGTTCGGACTCCAGAAATCTGAGGATTGTTCCCGGGATAATCCCTCTTATTCCACCTCCATCAATGCTGAGAACTGTGATTAGGTTTCCATAAGTTGGGGGCTGCAGGGGTGACTTTTTTCCTTCCATCTTACTAAAAGGGTGAGAGACGGAGAGATTGAAGTTTCTGATAGCAGAAGAGATTTGAGGTTTTACTAGCCTTGGATACAGCTCTGAAGTTCTGTGACAATGAGAAACCCTCTTTGATGAGGATGGACATTTATAGGCTCCTTGTCCTTATTATTTTTCAAGATTCAAAGACGTCATGAACGATGCATCTGGTTCGAAATTCATGCGGCGTGTACTTCTTTTGGATTAAATTTGACCAAGTCTATCATTCAAAGCATAAATGAATAGTAATTCCACATTCCCACAGTAGTCATCTTGGTAGTCTCCTGCTTTGGCAGCAAAAGATGGTCCCATGGGCACTATATGTGAGAATTTTAGGCACTATATGTGAGAATTTTAGGTAAGACTGAGAGAATTGTAGGTTAGAATAATTAGGCAATAATGGTTCAAATAGAATAAATTATTTTTTAACAGGTAATTCAAAGGAGTTCATGAATTTTTATGAATTAAGTAATTTGTCTGGTGCAGAAGTTGCGGTTGCTGGTACTTCCTTCTCGGTGAATTCAAAAACCTGCACAAGTTCTACTAATTAACTATTAACACATCATTTCCATTCGAAAAAGGTGGCGTAGTGTCAAATGAAAACATTGGTAAACCATTCAAATATGCCTGTAGATAACTTAATAATTGGGATATGCTATATACATTGAGGAAATATGCCTAAAATAACTTAAAATATGCCGGAGAAGACTTTCCTTTCCCTTCATTTACTCATGCTTTTGGTGTGCAATTTCATATCTTATGGACTTTACTTTCATATCAACTTGATATTCTGGATTCATTGTACTTGGGGTTTTAAATGGTCACAAGTTAATAGACAGGCTTTATCCTTCATGAAAATTTATGAATTCAAACTTTGCAGAATATCTCCATGTGTATTATAGTTTAATATCCCCATGAAAGTTTTATGAATGGCAAATTTGAATTTTGTAACTACAACAGGCCAGAAGGAATAACATCGTCAACAAACAAATTAATAGACATGATCTTAAATGAAGGCCTAACACCTTCCAAGGCGTACATGATCCGTTAACTTCCCCTTAGAGGCACTGATAAAATCAGAATGATATAACTATTGTGTCCATCAGAACTGCTTGAATGGTTCCATGGCTCTAAATGTGTCTCAGTTATAACGATTAGTGACTGAAAATGTATTATCTGATCTTAGTTATATATATGTCCTCATTTAGTTTCATACTCTAAAGGACGAATTAATGTTTCTCTCTAAGATATATATCTCTTTGAAAGTGTTAAATTGGATGGTTTCCAGTAAGTAGACTTGATCAGCCACCATAGGAGAGAACAAAAGAAAGAACTGATCGATGGAAAGAAAATAGTAGAGCCTTCAAAGGAAAATATTCTCAGCCTCAAACAGTTATTAATTCTATCAAAAATGTCATCAGAAATAGGCTTGCCTCCATCAAACTAAAGAACAGTGGAGTTTTTAGACAAATCGAGAACCATTGGGATCTTCAGAGGCTTCTCATGTTGGGAAACTCTATGGTCTTTGGCCGCAGATGGCTTCTGGACTCTTAAAGTTTGAATTTCAGTTGCTACTGTTTTGTACTTTTACTCTGTTAGAATTTTTATGCTTTGTATGGTCTTCCTGACCTTGTTCGGTTCTAAAAGAGCCCTCCTCGTACATTCTTCTCTCTTTTCCATACAGCTTACCCATTTTACCGGGGAAAAAAAGAAGAAGAAAGAACTGATATAAGATCCTAAAAAATTACTAATTCTAGTTGTGGAAATGGATCATTGACTACACTCTCTCCTGCAGTTTTAAGAATTTGTAGTGAACATTTTTCTTGTGGTACTCCTACTCAATTCTGATTCTAGATCAACAAGTTTTGAGGTGATTTCAGATTTCTAATTCCTAGATTACGAAGATGAATTTCCCATTAAAATAAGGCCTTATTTATTTATTTATTTTTTTTTTATGATGTTTGGGTTTAATGTAGCCATACTAAAAACTAAAAAAAGCTCTGCAGAAAGAATAGAATGGTAGCTTGAGATATGCAAGCTTGGTTGACTGTTAGGAATTGATTTATGAGTATAATATTAAAAGGGCTAGGCCAAAATTTGCTTTTAGTTGTTATGTATTTCCTTTTGCACTCAGTTTGCAAAATGGGATGTTTGAAAGATGACGGCATTCTCAATTCTCCTATTTTAAAGTAGGAACTAAGGATAGAGGATAGAGGTTACATATAATAATAATAATAATAATAATAATAAGAAGAAGAAGAAGAAAGATGACGGCATTCTCAATTCTCTTATTTTAAAGTGGGAACTAAGGATAGAGGATAGAGGTTACATATATATATATATATATATAAAATAATAAGAAAATAATAATAATAAAAACAGAAGTGCTTCAATCATCACATCAAAACACAAATAAATAAGAAAAATCGAATGTATACTTTATGAATCTTTCATGGGATTGTTCTGCGCGCAGATGAGGTTGTAAGACAAGCGAAAAAGTTAATTAGATGCTGCCAAATGGTCAATTCAAGTTGATCTCAAGAAAGGAAGTGCTAAAGTTGCATGGGCTAATACTTTCAAAAAAAAAAAAAAGTTGCACGAGTCTTGCATGGGCTACTATTTTAAAGTATGAACTAAGGATAGAGGATAGAGGTTACATATATATATATATATATACACACACACATATATTACAATAATAATAATAATAATCATAATACAAAAAACAGAAGTGATTCAATCATCACATCAAAACACAAATAAATAAGAAAAATCGAATATATACTTTATGAGTCTTGCATGGGATGGTTAATCTCAAGAAAGGAAGCGCTAAAGTTGCATGAGCTGCTATATGCACACCAAAATCAGCTGGGAGCCTTGTCATCCCTCATCTTCAAACAATGAACAACGTTGCTATTATGAAACAGTTGTTGCAAGTCTTAGCAACTGAGAATTCATCATTATGGGCACAATGGGTTAGAACTTACCTTATCAGAGGAAAATCCCTCAACAGTGTTCCTGGAATCTACGCAAACTACTCCAACTTAGTTATTCCACTAAGCCCCTGGTCAAAGTAGAAAGTGGCAATGGTGTCGATACCAATTTCCGGTTTGACAACTGGTGCTTCATTGGGCATTTGGACAGCTTGCTCACAACTGATCAAATTCGGAGCACTCCCTTTGACCTCGATACAAAGGTGAGCTTATTCATCAATGGTCCTTCATGGAGTTTTCATCCTTCCCTTTTAGCCCAGATGCAACCTCTGCTCCCTCCTAATAGACAAGACAGGGTTAAATGGCTACCCCTAAGTCACAAGTCACATAAAGTTGGAAACAAGAACGCGAAGCGTGCACCACGAAAGCAACACCTGTTTAGAAGAATTATGTGACTTAGGGTTAACCTCACCCGCACTGTCAAATCCCTGTGCTCATTCCCTAACCTCCCATGGACTCACCAAGCATTGCTTCATCTTGACCGTAACTTCCAACCTATGACCGTAAACCAGTAGCTTCTCTACACAATCCCCAATTTGTGTGTCATCCGTTCTTCTTTCCCTGAGTCCCACAACAACCTTTTCTTTCAATGCCCATTTGTTTCCCATTTGGAACTTTTTACGAGCACGTTGTGCTTTCTACACAAGACCTTCTTCTTGGGACAGAATTATTGCCTGAGCTTGTTAATTATGGAAAGAGAAAAAGAAAACAAACCCTAGAACTCTTGTGAGTAAGATCTGCCTTTCAGCACTGGTATACAACATTTGGATGGAAGGGAACAGAAGGAATTTTAGAGGTTCTTCACTGTCTACAAAAACTTTGTACTCAATCAAACACTGGCCGGTTAAATTAACGGCAACTTTTTGAAAGCTATGGCTTACTTGTAATGGGCTTTAGCCCTTCTTTTGTAACTCACCGCCCAATAAGTTGGGCCTGTACATTTTATTTACTTCAATATACTTGCACTTACCTTTCAAAACAAAGGTGATTTCTGCAAAATTATTTTCTATATTTAATAATATATTATATTAGTATTTTCTTAACTTATCTCTACCATGTATGGTGCATGTGTCGTCTTTGCATGATGTATGTGTCCTATTTATTTATTTTTATACTTTTTGAAAGAAAAGAAAAAAATTGGGCATGGTTGCGTTGTATTCGTAACAGTGCTTTAGAAAATAGAGGCTCAACTCTCTCTTTTACAAAAACATGCATTTACAGTGTAACATGCAGGAAAATCCATACAGAGAAAGATCTGAATTTAGGGACTCTTTGTTGCACGCAGGCACGGATTTACAGCGGACTCGGGTAGAATTTTTTGTTTTTGCATTTTACATCTCTAAATTTATACTTTTTTGTATTTATGTCCATAAAATTTTGAAATTGCCCCCACTAAAATTATATTAAAAAAAAACCCTCTATATAAATTTGTCCCCTGTTGAAAATAAACTTGATTTTAGAATTTTAGTTGTAATTAGTATTTTCAAGTATTTGGTATACATGATGCATGTGTTTATTTCATGTTAGTGGGGTAGTAAATGATCTTGATGGAGAAGGTTATGTAAGACTAAAAGGTATGGGAATTAAGTATCTTAAATACTATGTTAGTGGGAGTTATGCTACTAATGGTTATGTTAGTGGGAATAATGGATGTAATTAGGCCTTTAAATATAATGGTTATGCATACATATGTGAGGCCTATATAATTATGTACTTTAGTCATTTTAGAATATGAATTAGAAGTGGAATAAAAATAATTTTCCAAGTATTCCTCCATATCATTCTCTTCCAAATATTATAGTATTGTGTGTGTATCTAGGTCACTATTTCTAACAAAGTGGTATCAGAGTAAAGTCAGAAAGTGGTATCAAAGCAAAAGCCAACAAAGTAGTATCAGAGCTAGGTTTCAACATATCAGTGCCAGATTCATGTTCAAAGCCTAGACGATCCTAAAGGCCTGACGAAGTTGATCCTAAAAGGTTCAAC